TCATCAACATTAACACATCAACACAACCCATCAACGACAAAATATCAATTAAACCATCTATTTAACATTCTACAATTAATCCACCCATAAAATCACCACACACCCAATTATTACATTTCACTCGTTAAAACATAAACCATAAAATCACCACACGAAAAATGATCTAATTTTTAAAAAGCAAATAATTTTTTAAATTAATTAATTAAAAAACAACAACAACAACAACAAAATCACCACATGCCAAAGATATGAAATGAACCTCCCCCCTCCCCTATGCGCTCCCCTCCAAAAAAATTCCACCAACGAGTACAACATTTTGGATAACGTAACAAAACCACCTCTATTTTCGACCTCCCAAAACCTCACTCAACTCAAATAAAATTAACAACCGTTTTTAATTTCATACATCCTTAACCGAAGCCATGCCTTACTGTGTGACCTCACATTTTATTTAAACCAAATTCATTCTTCTCGTACCCCCCCCCCTCCGCATAAAATACAAGTTATGGATAGAATAAAAAAAGGAGGAGGGGCTGGGGGACGGAGTTTACACTTGCTAATAGCAGAATTCGATTACACTAACAAAAATTTTATTCAGTTATGACAAAACGGACTAATTTGATGCCGCGCCACGAAAGTGTTGTGAAGGGGAAAAGTAGTCCCCATATCCCCAGGGGAGGTCAGCGCGTAGTAATATGGGTAAACGGAAGTTTTCGCCATTACGTCGCTAGGCGTACAGCGCCGTCTTTTCGGGGGTGGGGGGCGACGACAAGGGGGAGATAATTCATTAAATTTAGAGATTAAGGGAAAGAGAAGGCGATAGAATCATATAGCCCGGAGAATTCGTTGTTGATTTTCTTGACGGTGGCTCGCAGACGCGAAAGTTTGAGCAGAGTCGCGCCAAATGGCTTAATATGATTAGGGCGGACGAAAGCGGAAGGGGTTGAAAGATTGCGTACACAAGCAAAGGGAGAGAAAAAAAACCTAGTGACGTTAATTTTATCAGGGGATGGAACTCTGGCGACACAAACGATTCTAATCAGATTACCCTCTCCTTTTTTTTTTATAAAAAAAATTAGTAAAAAAAAATGTAGGATGAACAGGAAGGGGTAGGGAATGGGGTGTAAAAATTAACGTAGAATATCAGTAGGGCGGAAACGGAAATAGATGTAAAAATGAAAGTGAAAGGAGCGAGGAAAAGGGAGCTAAGAACGGGTCAACTTTCGAGGAAACTCCGCAAAATGAAAGAGCAACATTTGGGTTAACATTTCTGACCCAGTGGCAACATTCGTTTTTGTGTTGTTAGCGGCCGGAGTTTATCATAATCTACGGTATTTGTCATAGCCTTTGGGTTATGTCAAAATGTATTGTTTATGTTGTAATTTACGGTTTATTTCCATTCATGGTTATTGTAATATTTTATGGTATATATCATAATCTACGGTATTTATCATAGCATTTCGGTTATGTCAAAATATATTGTTTATGTTGTAATTTACGGTATATATCCATTTATGGTTATTGCAATATTTTATGGCATATATATGATAATCGATGGTTTTTGTCATGGCCTTTGGGTTATGTCAAAATGTATGGTTTTTGTTATAATTTACGGTATATTTCCATTTATGGGTATCGTAATATTTTATGGTATATATCATAATCTATGGTTTGTGTCATAATGTATGGATTATGTCACAATTAAAATCTATTGCCTAAGTCACAATCCAAGATTTTTTTCATGATTTATGGATTAATGGTATTCCTCAGTGAACATATATTCTGTTAAAATGTGTTTATTATAATGACCTATGGTTTTTACATACTGATCTATTATTTAATCATTATTTTTTAGTTATGTTATATGGGTTAACTGTAAAGTTAACCAGCTATAAGTAAACTGCCACATATGCGTCAAAAGAACTTTTCTTAGGCGTCCGCGCTTGACTTAAATTTTAGAGACCCACTGGAAACTGATTGATAATATTTTATTTTATAACCGGAAAATTTCATTATAACCTAAGGGGGCTATTTTATAGCCTGGGGTTTATTTTGTATCCTGAGGTTTATGCCATAACTTGAGGTTTATTTTATAACCCGAAGTTCATATTATAACCTGAGGTATATGATATAACATGAGAATTTCTGTATATCCGGATGTTTATGTTATATAATGGAGCTAAAGTTATATGACTTTACCTGCTTACCATTGTCTCTAGTTATTAGACACTTCCAATTGCCAAATAGGGAGCAGCTCTAAGATTTGTTTCTTCCGGTATATGTGCTGTATAAAAGTATCTATATAACAAGAAAAATCAAGTTTAGTATAACGTGGTGAAACCAGATTTGGGATTTTTAAGGAAAGGAGTAATTCATTGTTTGTTTTTTAAATAATAATCTTCACGCGTCCAGTTTTTAAGTATAAAATACCTTTAGAATTTATAGACCTGCTTTCTATTCCATTGAATCCCTTTTCCTGCATAAAACTTCTTTTAATAAATTAACAAAACGAATCAAAATTTTATTCATAAAAATTTATCTAGCTAACATCATATCATCGGAGCACATTTTTTCCAAATAGAATTATATAATTTTTAATTTAATTTTGTATATAAAAAGGCTGTTCACACAAGTTTTTTACAATCATCAAATGTGATTTGCATTGATTGAATGTGATTACATAAATAAAAATCTGAGTGCGTTTTGGGTTCTTCGGTGCTTTTAGAAATCTCCCAACTGTTTGTTGATAGAATTGTTGTTACAACTGTTTGTTGATAGAAGTGTTGTTCCAACTGTTTGTTGATAGAATCGTTGTTACAACTGTTTGTTGATAGAAGTGTTGTTCCAACTGTTTGTTGATAGAGGTGTTGTTCCAACTATTTTTTGATAGAATTATTGTTACAACTTTTTGTTGATAGAGGAGTTGGTGTGGAATCCACGAGTAGAGAAAGAAGGGAACGAAAAATGTCATGTAAGAGATCGTTTTAAAAGAAGGATGGGGAAGGTTGGATTTTCATGGCTTGCTTTAAAAAGTAGTCACATATTGTGTTCGTCGACGACATATATTCTTGTCCCAAAGCTTAACGTATGAGTGTGTGTGTGTGGGGGGGGGGGGGATTTAATTTTAAAAATCCAAATTAATCTTCCCTATCGAAATTCATTGCTCTGATGTTTGTTATAGTTAGAAAAACAACAGGGCGTTTTGAATTCTATTTGGATTCCCAAAATAGGCAGCACCGTTCCGTGAAGTTACAGATATTACCCGTAGAGCTGGCGTAGTTATCAATGCTTTATGTTTCATAGGGATGGCATGGTCGAGCGGGAGAACCCATGATGACTTACTCAAAATTAACGAGTTCGGATCCTCGGGTATATATGTATGCATAAGCCATTTTTAACAACCCGGTCCACGAAAATGTTTTGCTAATGCCACTGATTACGGTATTTGTGCACGCGCGTGTGTGTGTGTGTGTATTTGTGAAGATGCAAAAGCTGCAAGGAAGTAATAGTGACAGCCATCATAAACTGATCCTTACACAAAAATCAGGGAATGCAATGGCTAACAATAGGCATGAAAAGTCTGTGTAATGTTACTAAATTTTTGAAAAAAATCTTTTAAAAATATGGCAAGCGATACAATTATAGTTACATTTGTAATAAACCGGGAGTGATCTCCCTTAAACTTTCTCGAATATTCTTATATAACTTGGAATATAGACATGATTTTTAATTACTTAAACTTTTAAAAATAGAATAGAATCTCATAGAAAAAAAGAATTGCGCACCAAGCAAACGACAAAACAAAATGTGAATAATAGTGCGCAATATTATTAGTACTTTATAAATTTACATGCGTTTTTTTGAGAAATTGGAAATAGCGTAAATTAGTACATCCGGTCTACGGAAAGTACTCAAAATCTGACAGAAGGTAGAGAATTAGATCTTTTACTTACATGTGAAATTTCATTTATCTATCTGAAATAGTACTCAAGTTATAGGCTTTTGAAAAATTCAAAGTAGGAAAAGTACCACTTCCGATTATCGGAAATCGCTCAAAAGTTGATACGGTCTACGATTTTGATAAAATACTTATATATGAAATTTCATAAACCTAGCTGTAACGGTACTCAAGTTATCGTGTTTATACACAGACAGACAGACAGACAGACACACACACACACAGACACACAGACATACGGAAAAGATTGCAAAATTATGTTTTTCCGTATCAGCGAGGTGTAAAACGTCGAGATTTGTAAAATCTCGATTTTTTTTTTTGCACGATTACAAGAATTTCTCTATACTTCGTATATACGAGAAAGTAAAAATTAAATACGTTTGGGAACAATCAATTACACTCATTTTTATATTTTTGTATCGAATATAAGTCGTTGAAAAGCCTTTTAGAATTATTTTATCAATTCAAATATTTTCAAAAACTGCCCTCAACCTCTCCTTGAAATCAACCAGATTGGCCAGGGAGAGTAAAACAATTAAAGTTAGAACAATTGTTTTCTATGATAAAATTACGCAAAAAATGATATATGATGTATAGCGTAGTATTGTATTTATATTAAATAATATAACATCCCCAATCACCACAACACCCTGAGTCTACTATTCCAAATTAAAAATAAAAGTGTTTACTAAATTCCTATTACATTGCTAGTATTTATTTCTTAGACTATTTCAAACCATTATAAAACCGGAAGTAATTTTGTACTTCATACACAAATGTTATAAAATATTCAATTTTGGTTAAAAATATGTTTTCTGGCAACAAAATATTTGGAACCAACTTTTCAAGACTATTACCAGACGGAACACAATTTCAAAAGTTTATTTAGTCTACTCACAGCGTATCCTTGCATCTTTTGTAATTCAAGAAAACACGTGAACTCTACTCCGTTTGTCTGGTCTAATGGTAGAACGTCAATTCATTAATGTTCACGCTGGAATAGTTTAAAACCCTATACTTTTTTTTTTACTTTTATTTTCAGGTTTGGTTTCAAAATAGGCGGGCAAAGTGTAGAAAACAAGAAAGTCAGATGCAGAAAG